TGATTCTCTTGCCTCAGCCTCCCGAATAGCTGGGACTACAGGTGCCCACCAAAACGCCCGGCTATTTTTTGAGACTGAGTCTTATTCTGTCGCTCCGGTTAGCATGCCGTGGTGTCATCATAGCTCACAGCAACGTCAGACTCTTGGGCTTGAGCAATCCTCTTGCATCAACCTCCCCAGGAACTGAGACTACAGGTGTGCATCACTGTGCCCAGTTAGTTTTTCTATTTTTAATTGAGACAGGGTCTCATTCTTGCTGAGGCCGGTCTTGAACTCCTGAGCTCAAGCAATTTACCTGGCTCATCCTTGTACTCCTTGCCTGGCTGAGGTATAAGTTTTTAATACTAGGAATGCTTAGAGTACAGTACACCTATACTTGTGGGGTTAGACGCTATGTAGCTAGTTATTGACAAAGTTGAATAAACAAAGTCCCTGTCCTCTGGAAAATGCTAGTGACAATCTTACAGGGATTATAATACCCAGTGACACCAGAGCATGGAGCTGTAATGTGGACATACGTGTGTCTATATCCACATGTATATCTTTATCCCAGGCTCTAGGCCAAACACTTTGCATGTATTATGTCACTGAATGTCCCAGCCACCCTCTGAGGTCGTTAATATTGTTACTACCATATAAAAAAATGAAGAAACTGAGTCCCCTAGTCATTTGAGTCCACAGCGAAGCAACAGAGCTGGGCTTTCACTCTTAATTCCAGAATTTAGAGATGCCTTTATGTCCCTAGGTTTTCTTTAGGTTTGAGAACAGTTACTTGGAGCCTAGGGATAAGATAGCTGAAGAGAGAAACGACTTTGGTTTCATGTGGATGAGATAAACTGAATGTCAAGCAGTCACAGCTTTGACTAATTTACCCCCATTTTTTGTGCAAAAAGCTCTAAGTGTATCCTTTAAACCTGGGCAGAGCCACATGTGATGTCCCTATTTCTATCCTCTGGAGGGTTAGTGTTAGTACAGTTGATGCCCAGATTCATCCTCCCGACCCTCTTCTGAGGTTCACCTTGTGCTCCTGACACTGCCTTCCTGGTACCCTTATCTCTGTGCTGACTTCTTTTCTGCAGAGCGCCAGTGGAACATGTGGATCCCAGGATTTGGCTCTGAAGAAATCCGACCCTACAAAAGAGCTTGCACCACAGAAGCTCATAAACAGGTGAGGAGCCACCAGAGCCTTGGGGACATCTGGGGCTGCTCCCTTGAGGTACATCTCAGAAGGGGTGCACACAGCTACTTCTTCCACACAGTGAGCTTCACTCTCTGGAGCAAGGGTCAGAGAGGACAAAAGGCAGCAGCAGTGCATGGAATATCAGTCACGTGCTTCCTTGGTGCTGTGCTCTTCCCATGTGGGGTCTCAGTTTTCTCTCTCAACTCTGATGGGCGTCACTTAAAGCTGTTGATTATAGGTTTTTCTAATATGGATGGAGCTCACTCTCTTTACATCTCCTTAATGAAATCTTCCTTCATTGTTACTGACTTGAACACCATATCTGACCTTATGAGGAGAGAGCAGGTTAGAGAAATATACTGTACTTGTGCTGAGAGGACATATCCAGGCTGCTGTGCCATAGACAGGCCTATGTCCCAGCTTAACCTTGGTTCTCTGCCTTTTTTTTTTTATTTTAAGAGACAGGGTCTTCCTGTCACTGCCTAGGCTGAAGTGCAATGCCCTTTAAAGACTTGATCGGCTCGGCGCCTGTGGCTCAACTGGCTAAGGCGCCAGCCACATATACCTGAGCTGGCGGGTT